TCGGAAAGCTAAGCAGAAGTTATTTGGAGAGGAGAGTGACTGCCGTTGGTTGAAAAGAGAAAAAAAAACTTCAGTGGTGTTGCACACTATTTTATATTATTTTTAAAGTCATTGTTAACCCTTTAGATCCGGTCAGAGCAGCACGCTCCGTTTTGTGTAACTATTTTTAAATCCCTGTAGAACCTGAACCATGTAAGCTAGCGCAATAATTTGTTTGCATATGAAACCGGAGGAGTTGTACTTACATCTGATGCCATCAGCTTGTCCTCGGTCACGGTTTCCTTCCACATAAAGCTTTGCAAAAACTGCATAAAAAGCGCTTGCAGCAACAAAAACATAATATTCCAGAAACACGCTTTGCCGATCCGATCAGCTGTTCGTAACACTTCCCACAGTTAAACAGACGTCAGCGCGAACTGTCACATGTCCGCCATTTCCTGCCCGAAACCGGAAGTGACGTCATTTTCGCAGAAATTGTAGTTTTTTTACTTGTAGGCCTTAAAAGCCTATACTGGTCATGTTTGACTTTTCTGAATAGTTTCTGGGATGCTTAGAACTCGAATTGCACTGCTGGAAATAGTTTATTTTGATGCTGTTTTCTTTGCAAATTTGCATCATAGGATTGTTTTTTCGTTTTTCTGCAGTATATAAAAATTGATGTATCTCCAAAATAAAACTATGAAGACACTCAAAATAAATTTCCTGTTGTAAACTATTTTTTGCAACTTTTTTTGTATTTAAAGTTTTGAAGGATAAGCCTCTTAAATTTCTCCAAGTAGAAATATATGCAAAAAAAACAAAAATGATTTTCAATTTTTTTTTTTGTAGTTTATTGCACTTTTTTGCATTAATGTAGTTACTATGGACTTAATGCATACATATTATTAAAATATGGGCTATAATAGTTATTTAGCAACTTGAAATGCTCCACAAATGGCACTACAACATGTAAAAATATAATATAAGCTCTGGCGGACTTGGTTCTATGGTAGGTCTTAAAGGGTTAAATAAATATCGTCAAATAATCGAGATCTCAATTTCAGTGAAAATAATCGTGATTATCATTTTTGCCATAATCGAGCAGCCCTAATACAAACTATAATACTATGCCCTTTAAAGTAAATACTGAGTGAGATGCTCTCAGCGGAGGTTTGTACTCTCTGATGGCTTCTTTTTATCGTATGCTTTACAACCAGTCAGTAAAAGAATTATTCTAATTGCACTATTATTGTCAACTTGAAAGGATAACGATAAATTATTTTGTGTAAAATTAGTAAGTAGTTTCAATCCTTTTGTAGCTCTGCCAAAACAGCAAGTATCTGTTGCATATGTACTGTAGAATGAATGATGCTGAATATCATCAAATGACAGCGATTAATTTGCGAGTATTGCAAAATAACCAGAGGAACATGTGTGTCTGCTATGATTTGATGTTGTTAGTTTTCTATTACTTGTGAGTCTCTGTGAGCTTTTGTGCATCAGCGACACCAAAGACGTTGCCTGGTGTGAAGTGGCTAATGATTCAAGAACGCTGCAGATCATCACACAGTTGTGGTTTGCAGGTTGCTTTACTCGTTGCCTCGCCCTTTCCTGCCGCAGCACTAATATATCAATAGAACTCAGTTGGTTACTGTCCAGAAGTCCTTCTCTGTGTCCGTGCATGTTTAATGCCTTCACTAGAATTACTACTCTCGCCCACGTGTTAGCTTTTTAGTGTTAAAGTTCCTCTGTACTCAGCGATATACAAATAGTTTCTCTCTTGAACATAACAGGGAGCTTTGAACGGTATTTTTTTCCTCCAATGCTGAATATTTTAAAAATAATCAACCTCCAATGGTGTAGCTCGGTCTATAAACATCACCGTTGCACATGAGGAAAAAGCTCATAGAGTTTCATATTATTTTAAGAAACTTGCCCAGGAAGGCGTCTTCTCCTTCATCCCACTCTTGCCTGTGGAACTTTGTGCGTCTGTGGCCTTGGGGGGGTTTTCTCAGCATGCGGCACAAACAGAAGCATGCAGCCTGTGGCTAAAAGGTAGATGCTTCTAGTAGAGTGTTACAACGCACACATACACACATATACTTCTCTCCTATGGGAGTGCTAATCCCCAAGAGATGAAAGAAGGTTCCCACTGCTCTCTGATCCCTGTGTCCTGCTGTAGCGGTTCATTTGGTGCCTGGCGGAGAGAGACAGGTCCGGTTGATGCTCCCACACACGGTGTCCTTGGCCAAAGAGCAGACAGACTTAGGCCAAGCCCCATGCTGATCAGAGAGTTCCCCTATTAGAAATCAATGTTCTTTTGACACCCTTCATTTAGTTTCTGTGTGGTGTGTCTGTATCACCATGGAGAAAGGAAGGGGGGAAAAAGAAGCAGAGAGAGACACAGGGAGAGAAAGATAGGGAATGTGTATGCATACTGAAGACCTCTTCACACCTTAATGAATGATGTTTTTTCCTCATGGGAAGCCAACTGTTAATGCTAGATTATCTCCTCTCCTCTTCATTATAAGAAAGAGAGTCTTCTGCTGAACCTTAAAGCTTTGGAGTGGTGCAAAAGTTCACTTAGAGTCCATTGACCATGTCTACTTTCATTGTGTTTACACCTGAGCAGGAATTCCTATGTGGTACGTGCATAGGAAGTATAGCCTCTGCGCTATAGGCACAATAAATTGTTAAATAAAAGCACTTCACTGTCCTTAAATAGGAAGGAAGAAGGGAGATATTTCCTAGCATAAAGCTGCTTTACCTTCTGTGAGGATAAATTTAGCGACAGCCCCGTCATCTCTGACTATACATAGAACCGCTGCCTCTTCTACTGATTGATTAGGGTCTTTGTGGTCTTTCTGCTCAATGTCATGAATTTTAAAGAACAGATAATAAACTATAAGGGCCCTTATTCAGCACAACACCACTTAATAGGAAAATTGGCAACCTGTGTCCTCTCCATTTAATCACAAATACAGTCCAGATGACTATCTTTAGTTCTGATTATATCCGTAATCCTCTGCTTCAGTGCCAGTCTAAATGGGAAATAAAAGAATCAGCGGTGAGGCATTGCTCAGTTTTTCTTCACAAAGGTCTGTTCTTCTTAGGGCGAACGATTATGGAAAATAATCGAATTGCGATTTTTGCCCCAATATTGCGATTGCGATGCATATGCGATTATTTTTTAAGGTCTTTGTCTTCTGTATTATTAAACAAAGACAAGCAATACATCATATAGTATGGCCAATACTATATTACATTAATTTTAAACTGTTCTTTCCTGGAAGACAGACCTCTGTTATGATGACATGAGGTGATGCATGAATTGATGACTGACATTTTATTTAACTTCTTCAATCACAACAGTATATTTGAACATACACAATAGTTTATTTTTAGCTTACAAACATCTGAGCATAAAGTGCTGGCAAGGAACCCTGGTGTAAACATTAAAATGAAAGTCAGTACAATGTGCAGATGCAGAAATATACATAAACAAAATCAGTGGCTTTACCACACTCAGTTTTCGACATCTGTGAACTACTAGACAGTCATTCAATTAAAAAATAATATTAAAAAATAAAACTAATAATAAAAAATACACACATCTTACTGATCTCTGCAGTCAGTAACATTACACATAAAGTGCAAACATAATAGCATAATTGTATAAACACACACACAAACACGCCTTTAAAGTTTAAAGGCGTGAAATGGACGGTCTAGCCTTCTGATTAGCGTCACCGCTGTCTCGGTGGAGTTTAATAAACTCGGCCGTTGCTTCTTGCTATCTAAAATATAACCAGACACTGGCGTAAATTCTCGACTGTCTCATACTTCTGTTTAATAAGTTTTCTGTTTGACGTTTAGTCAGCTGTGTGAAAACCAAGGAGGAACCACCCGGGGGATTAATAAAGTTTTATTTTATCTAATCTAATAACTTTAATCTCAGCCAAACCGATTTACTCACGAACAAACAAAACACTGAAAAAGCCCAACAATAACATTTTTAGGTTGTCTAAGTGACTTATATATTACGTTTAACCCGAGCAGCGAAACTCCGCGGTGATCTGAAAATGATGTGCTGGGAGTTGTGCCGTTCTCGGCCGCATCAGTAACCCTCGAGCTCCCGGCTAGCTGTCGAGCTGGTGGGTAGCAGACGCCTCTGAAAACGTCGAAGCACTTTTGCAAATATGGGATATCTTGATAAACCGAGCAGATATTTGATGTTTACACAACTACTTTCTCGCCTGAAAATATGTTAAGTTTATTTTGTGACCCAGAAAGATTAGTATGAGTAATTTTAAAACTTAGTAGCGGCCGCCATTGCTGGAACTGGAGTTTGGCTGGGCCGCGCTATGAATTCTGGGATATGGTAGTAATTTGGACAGCCTTCGGAACGTCGCTGTGACGTAATCGGTCTACAAATGCAGCCTCAGGAGGATGCAGCCCATGAATTTGGACATGTCCAGAGTATAATCGCAGCCTTTGCGGTTAGAAAATTGCACTTGATCATGTCGCGATATTATCGCAAATGCGATATATCGTTCAGCCCTAGTTCTTCTGCACCTGAATGTCTTCTAAGGCCCGACATTTAGCCAGACCTGCATAAATCTCATTGTTCTCTATTGTGTGTTTGAGCACTTTGAGAGGGAAGAACAAAGGAGTCGTGCCATTTTGCGA